TCCGATCTTGCCTTGTTCTGCATATCTGGTGAGAACTATATAACGCAAAGCGTTAAACTATCACCGTTAACCTGCAGTTGCTGAGAATTGAGGGAATGATCCCAAAAAAGATCCTATATTTTCAGGCGCTTGTGATTCAATCGTGTATGCCAATATTCTTCTCATTTCCGACCAAATTTCTGTACTTCTTTATGCAACTGGGCCTCTTCGAGTCCTTAGTTGGCGAATATCTGGTGTTCGCCATGTCACCAATGTTGGCTGTGGTCGATCCATGTGTGACGTTGTATTACGTACTACCCTATAGACATTTTATAATGGGAAAGCTCAGAATTGGCAACAAGAGAAAGAACTTCTCGAACGTCGCCGTGATCGCAGCAACTCAAAATCAATTTGCAGTATCTGATGTTAATGGTTCTGTGTAATAAAATAATGACTTGAGTTGAATTTTTCGGGGCAGTGGAGTGTCCTTTGAAGACGAGGCGCCATTCGTAAAAAAATGATGGCGTGAGACCGAGTATTCTCAAATGGCACCATGAACCAACGGAAAACCGCTTACTACTTATGGCTTCTTGAGAACAACTTCAAGGGCATGTGGCACGATTAATCGACAAAGCATCTACGGTCAATCCACTTGCACGAAAGTTCATTGCCTTTTAGCAGGCGCTGTGCAGTGCCTTTCTAACCAAGGGCACGTCATAACGCCTAACCAGGGTGCAATATGCGCAGACGCCCACCGCAACCGTTTGCCCACAATTGGCCGTACAGTCACATCGACGCCGGTGCGCTTATCGGTTCATTTATAAAGTACAATTGATAGGGAGCGTAGATATACGAGTACCTACGTGCAGCTCTATCACAGCTTTTGCTGGCACGATGTCAAGGGGACACTCATCATAATGCTCAATGCCGTGAGGAACAAAGGTTTCTTTCGCAGGCTCCTGGCTGTTTAAGTTCGCTTTTAGTCATTTCCCCCACCACCACCCCTGCTACTACTTCCGAACCATTACCAAAAGATTGTGCGTAATAGTTTAAAGAAGTTCTGGAACCACTCGGTGATTGCGGAAGGTGAGATGCTTCCAGGAGATCACAAAAGCATCATTGTTTCTAGTAAATATAAGGCGAAGCCTTTTCAGTTTCAGTCTCACTGTCGAAACTTTCGCGTCAACTTCACATTAGCTTTG